AGGGCGCTGCCTGTGCACGCGTTAATTAGCATTAATAGGAGGCGCCGACGTGCACACACATACAATATCGTCGTAGGAGCTGTTGAAATTTTTTGTAGGCCCTGGTGACTTATACTTAGGCCTCAATCGAAACTTTAGTAGCTATTGAATATAGAATGATATTTTAGGCTTCATAGTACTTTTCCAGAAAATTAAACTTACAATGCTGTTTTGAGTAGTACTATTATCAAGACAAATTCTATTTTTCCTTGCAGCTATTTGTTGTAGTAGTAGTACACATAATTAAAATATAGCGTTTTATAATAAATAACAATTGTATTACTATTAATAATAATGTGAAAAAATAAAAAAATGACTATTGTGGCTTACACCCCTGCACTCCACACTGCCTCCGGGGAAAGGTATCATCTTCCTCTGTATTTTTGCACGTAGTGTGCGACCTTAACATATTGTGTGAGCTTTCCGGCAATATATGCTATGTACATCGAACAAAATCGGAACAGCGTTTGTGATTCAGCTGGCGCGGAGGCACGTGACTCAGCAAGAACACGAAACATGTAACGGGGTACGTAGCCCTAAGTGTACCCTGGTTACATGAAGTGTGACACTTTACACTTCAGGAGTATGACACGTCATACTCCGAGATATTTGGTACAAGGTACCAAGGTCGTTCAAAGCCAACCATTGGTTAAATGACATTGCATTTCTATAGGTAACTAACAGTTTGTATTAAACCCAAACTTAATCTACCTATAAATATACTCAGTTTACAATCTACCTTATTTGGGTCACTTCGCTCTCTTTAATAATAGAGGGGACCTGTGAACTGCCGTTCACTGAGAGTTTGTATACTCTCGGAAGATAACTTCCTCTTGCGCGAGGTGCTGTGTGACCCCGTCACACTTGGTAGCACTTGTAGTCAATCCACGCCATCGTGGGTAGACTACCTGAACCTCCGAAGTTTGTTGCCATGGATAGGAACGACTTCTCCCATTTGAACGACTCTCAGCTCGAGTCGGTTCGGAAGATGGCAGGCATCTTCGGGATGGAGGCCCTGCAGAGCCTGGTGGTGTCAACACCGGCTGAGCAGCTCGAGCGCGTCAATGCATTCGACGCGTACGAGCAGGGCCTTATCGCGCATGTGCTGGAGAACCTGCAGGCTCCGGCGGCGGAAGCAAATCCGCCTCACCCGAAGCCAATACGGCTGAAGGTAACGCGAAGGGAAGGAAGGCGAGAACCTTCACTTCTGGGTCCGAGAAGTAGAGCTCGCGATGGACGCGGCTCTTATCTCGACCGAGCAGCTGCGTGTTGCTTTTGCACTCTCCAACCTTAGCGGTCGTGCTAAGAGTTGGGTGTACACTCGGGAAGCAACATCCCCTGGATGTTTCACATCCTGGGCTCAGCTGTGCGAACAGCTCCGAGCCGCATTCCTCCCGGCGAACTACGAGTACCGCCAGCGTTCGCGCTTCCTCGCGTGTAAACAAGGAAGGCGCGAACTGCACGAGTATGTGCAAGAGATACGGGAGCTCACGGCGTCCCTAGGGGGAAACCCACTCAATGAACACATCAAGATGACTGTGTTCATGGACGGCCTTCGAGTGGGCCCCGCACGCACTCAGCTGCTCCGGGTGCAGGCAAGCACCCTTGAAGAGGCGATTCAAGTGGCTCTTCAAGAAGGGTACAGCCATCGCCAGGCGCGTACGCCGGCCTCAGCGTGGCCTGGGAGCTCCTTCTCGGCTCCCGGTCGAACAAGCTCCAACGGACCAGCTCCCATGGAACTAGGGTCCGCCGAGCAGCGTGACATCCGCTGCTTCGGCTGTGGGAAGATGGGCCACTGCAAGCGCGACTGTCCCGCGGAAAGACTCCGCAGACGGTCCTTCCCCATGCCCGTCCTCAAGGGTCGCTGGCAGAAGCCAGGATCCCGGGGACAGGGGAACGCAGGGAACCAGTAGGGGCGGGGCGTTCTACTGGGGAAGAACTAAGCCTTCGTGATGGGTGCGCGGGTGGCGCGTACCACGGGGACTTAGCCCCTGAGAGTCTTCGCACTCTCGAATCGGCGAAGAGCGGCGGGTTGCTCGTAGTACACGGATGTGTACGGGGATACGATCATTCCTTTAGAATCTTGATTGACTCTGGGGCGTCGAAGAATTTCGCACGCCGCCAGACGGTTGCTCGTAACAGCAACAAGTTGTCCGAAGCTTTGAGAGAAAGCAAGGGCAACGGGACGGTGTCAGTGCGACTGGCCGACGGGAAGGTCGTCACTGTCCCCAACGTCCAAGTGGATCTGGAAGCTCCTTGTGAAGTACGTTGCGAAGTGTTTGTTTGTAATAGGAACTTCGTTTACGAATTTGCAGCTTACTTCGAAATACCATATTGGTCACGTGCGTGCTGTACAATCTTGCTTGCAAAAGAAGACGGTATTATTTTAAAAGAATACGATGCGGCAACCGGGAGAAACTATTGCACTGAACGTGCATGCGATCACCGAAAGTAGCTAAGCTCATTTAAGCTATTGCTTTCAATGGGGTAAGTATTGGATCGTACCGATACATGTAGTTCTGGGTGCTGGTATGAAAATTCAAAAATGTAACCTAAAAATGAGAGAACGCTACTGGATCAGCAAAATTTGTTGATTTAATCGTACATGTAACAAGACAGGGACTATGTGCACATTATTTTCAAAATAATGTGCACACTGTGCAAGTTCATGCACAGTATCTACACAGTCTCGAGATATAAACACTGCGACGATGGGAAAGTCTTATTTGTAATAGCCATATGCAGATCAGTTTTGTGAGCAGAACAACGCCGACTTGAAGCGAAAAAGTGGGTGAAAAGAGAGTGAATGTCTTCCTTTCGAGAGCACGCGTTTTTTCGCTAAGTTCAAGAAGAAACACAATTCGAGCCAAATCTTGGAGTCATATCAAAGAGTTATATATTATATGAATGCTACCAGAGCTCTACCCTGACTATCCTGAGGCATCACTAGTTGCACCTCCAGCAGCAGCAGAATCATGAATCGCGAGGAGATTGTGGCAGAGGTATCTGTAACGAAAGAACTGCATTGCTGGTCTGGTGTTTCCTTCGACACCGTGTGGCCGTTCGTCACCAAGACGTGCCTCCAAAAACCGAAGAATGTAAACGCCGCAGTTGTAGTTGTCGAGTTGGGGAATCCGTTACTTGTTTGGTGATACAGACTGCCCAGTCACCAGACAGACGAACACAAGCATTAATCTGCAGTATACAAATAATAGCAAGTATTGTTAAAGTGAGCTCTTCATGCAGCATGTCTAGATAATTAAACCTGAGCTTTGCAATCAATGCACCTTGAATGTTGGTTAGGACGCCCGCCGCGACGACTTCTCCCCGTCCTCGGTGACCCCGAATGCGTACACACGTACGTTTTATTGTAGAACTTCAGTTCGGCAGGAATTTTATCACAATACGAGTTGGTTTCTTTGATTTTGGCGCTGCGTGTACTTGCAGGAGTTGCAGTTCGCACAGAATATACCTGCATGCACAAAATGATATGTACAACACAATAAGAAATTGTGCACAGTTTGAAGTTGGAAAGAAGTCTAAGACGGGTGCCCAACCTGGTAGGTGCGCTTGCTGTCGGCCTTGATATAAGCTTCCAGTAACGCCCAAGTGTCAAACGATCGCCTATCGAGCGGGGGGACCGAAACCAACTCATCACGTGCTGTTACTCCTCCGCCATCTTCGTCGGAATCTCTCCCGCTGCTTGAGTTGTTGTCCTCGTACGCGTCCTCATCGACTGGATCGACATCCGCTTGACTCCGAGTTGCATCGCGACGTTGGCTGGGCTGCTCCGAATCTGAAGAATCGTCTGAAGACAGTGCGCGGTCCCTGCTTGAGACGTATCGCCTCCTCCTCTTCGCCTTTAAGCGAGCACTCCGTGCTTCTCCTCGCTTTCGCCGTGGCGTCTTCTCGTAGGAGGCCTCGCTCTCACTTTCGCTTCCGGTAATAGCGGCGCGGGACCTCTCGTGCGTCCTGCGAGCTTCGCGCTGGGGCATCGCGAAGATTGATGCAGTACAGGCGTTGGCACGGGGGTTCTTTTCGCGACTGAGGGGGGAATTTATCGGCCACTCATCCCGCAGAATGATTGTCGCTGCCTCCAGTTGGTGCGTTTAGGGGATGCGTGATAGCTCCCTTTTTATTACTGTGATTTCCTGCCCTTTATTTACTGTGCACGTAGCCACTCTCCATGTAACAACGCAGGATATAAAAAGGCACAAACACAAGAATGAAGGTCAACTGTTTGCGTGCCAATTTTGTTTGCGGCCCACGCGGCTCGCATAATCCGATCTCGACTAACGATTTGCTCACATCGAACGATTCAAAGAAGCTGTTTATCGAAAGCACAACTTTCATACAGAGTACTGAAGTATCATGGCTCACTACAGATCAGCAACATCAGCCTCATCACGTCCAGTATTATAATTCACAGTATCCATTCATTTTCATCCAGTCGAAGCATTCATTTTGTCGAAAGAAAATCGTACTTAAAAGAAGTACCGTCATCTACCCTAACCGAATCTAGTTGACGCCCGTGAACAATCAAAGTGATTGGTCGCCAAAGTGATGGATTTGTGTGGAATACCTGAGATTCCAACGGTCGCACGCAATCTTCTGTTCGGGGAACGTCCACAAAGATTCAGCTGCCCCTCCGCATTTGCTTCAGTGTTTCCTCAGCATGAGAAAACCTTGCCAAGAAAACAAGTTACAGGTCATGTCAGTCAGGGTTGTGCTACTGATATACATCCAAACAACGTCGCATTTATCTCACATAGGATGGTTTTTGCCAGCCAAGCCATCATCAACGGTGACACCGCTATCGCCATGAACTAGTTGGTCGCAACTTCCTTCTAGCGTGAGCTTTAATCACTTTTCGATTGACGCTCTCGCAGCGACATCGACGCAACTTTCCGAGCTACACCTGAAACAATAATTAAGACAGTGCAGTTTCCTATTCAAGAACAATGGCATCGACTCAAACGGACACATCGGTCCAGCCGATTCGCGCCACCATCGAATATGACAATGGCAAGACGCTCATGGCGCAGGGACCACAGGCGCTCCACGACCACGTCGCTTCTCGCATGGAGAAGGCGCTAGGCCGCGCACTACCACAGATGGAAGTGCGCTTCAAGGACGTTTCTATCTCAGCTGACATCGTCGTCAAGGATGAGACCGACATTAAAGTCGAGCTGCCCACGCTCACCAACGAACTCATGAGCGAGGTTTGGGCGCCAAGAAGCACACGGTCAGGAAGCAGATCCTCAGGAACGTCAGTGGGGTCTTTAAACCTGGAACTATCACGCTCGTGCTGGGCCAACCTGGCTCTGGCAAGTCCTCGCTCATGAAGCTGCTAAGCGGAAGGTTTCCCGACCAGAAGAACGTGACAATTGAGGGCGAAGTCACTTATAACGGCGCTCCCGCCAACGAGTTGCTCCGACGTCTACCACAGTTCGTCTCGTACGTCACTCAGCGAGACAAGCACTATCCTTCCTTGACCGTCAAGGAGACACTCGAGTTCGCACACGCCTGTTGTGGCGGAGGCTTCTCGGAGCGCGACGCTCAGCATTTCGTCGGTGGGACACCCGAGGAGAACAAGGCCGCACTCGATGCCGCCAGCGCCATGTTCAAGCACTACCCAGACATCGTCATCCAGCAGCTCGGACTCGACAACTGTCAGAACACCATTGTCGGTGACGCCATGACCCGCGGTGTGTCTGGAGGAGAACGGAAGCGTGTGACGACGGGCGAGATGGAGTTCGGCAACAAGTACGTCATGATGATGGACGAGATCAGCACAGGACTGGACAGCGCCGCCACCTTCGACATCATCACCACGCAGCGCAGTATCGCCAAGAAGTTCCGCAAGACGGTCGTGATCTCGCTGCTGCAGCCGTCGCCTGAGGTGATCGACCTGTTCGACGACGTGGTGATCCTGAACGAGGGCCACGTCATGTACCACGGTCCTCGTGCTGAGGCTTTGGGCTACTTTGAGAGTCTGGGGTTCAAGTGTCCTCCTCGTCGCGACGTCGCCGACTTCCTACTGGACTTGGGTACAGACAAGCAGGCGCAGTACGAGGTCAACTCGATGCCGTCCAGCAACATTCCTCGATCGGCCAGTCAGTACGCCGACGTCTTCACTCGCTCCCGACTCTACGCACGAATGATGGAAGATCTCCACGGTCCAGTCCACCCAAGTCTCATCGAAGACAAGACCAAGCACATCGACCCGATCCCGGAATTCCACCAGAACTTCTGGGACAGCACCATGGGCGTCGTGCGGCGTCAGATCACACTCACGATGCGGGACACAGCCTTCCTGGTCGGTCGCTCCGTCATGGTCATCTTGATGGGGCTGCTCTACTCGAGTGTCTTCTACCAGTTCGACGAGACCAACGCGCAGCTTGTGATGGGCATCATCTTCAACGCTGTCATGTTCGTGTCACTCGGACAACAGGCTCAGATCCCAATGTTCATGGCAGCCCGCGAGGTCTTCTACAAGCAACGTCGAGCCAATTTCTTCCGCACCTCTTCGTTTGTCTTGTCGAACTCAGTGAGCCAGATCCCTTTGGGGTTCGCTGAGAGTCTGGTGTTTGGCTCCATTCTATACTGGATGTGTGGCTACGTGTCCACAGTCGAGGCTTTCCTCCTCTTCGAGTTGATGTTGTTCCTGACGAACTTGGCGATGGCTGCGTGGTTCTTCTTCCTGTCGTGCGCGTCTCCAGACCTGAATGTGGCCAACCCATTGTCCATGGTCTCCATCCTTTTCTTCGTCCTGTTCGCCGGCTTCGTCATCACCAAGGACCAGATCCCAGACTACCTCATCTGGATCTACTGGATCAACCCCATGGCCTGGGGGGTCCGAGCGCTGGCTGTGAACCAGTACACGGACGATAGCTTTGACGTTTGTGTGTACAACGATGTTGAATACTGCGCCGACTTCAACATGACTATGGGCGAGTACTCGTTGACGACGTTCGAAGTGCCGACCGACAAGTTCTGGCTGTGGTACGGCATGGTCTTCATGGCAGGAGCGTACGTCTTCTGCATGTTCCTGTCGTACATTTCACTCGAGTATCGCCGCTTCGAGAGTCCGGAGAACGTGACGCTGGATAATGAGAACAAGGGAGACGTGTCTGATGACTACGGACTCCTCAAGACTCCACGTAGCTCGCAGGCTAATGGTGAGACTGCAGTGACGGTGACGCCTGACAGCGAGAAGCACTTTATCCCGGTCACGATCGCGTTCAAGGATCTGTGGTACACCGTGCCGGACCCGGCCAACCCCAAGGAAACCATCGACCTGCTCAAGGGTATCAGTGGATATGCTCTACACGGTACCATCACGGCACTTATGGGGTCATCAGGTGCCGGTAAGACGACGCTCATGGACGTCATCGCAGGACGGAAGACTGGAGGCAAGATCACCGGTCAAATTCTACTGAATGGCTACCCGGCTACTGACCTGGCTATCCGTCGATCCACCGGCTACTGCGAGCAGATGGACATACACTCTGAGTCGGCTACCATTCGTGAAGCGCTCACGTTCAGTGCCTTCCTGCGTCAGAAAGCCGATGTGCCCGACAGCTTCAAGTATGACTCGGTGAACGAGTGTTTGGAATTGCTGGACTTGCACCCGATCGCCGACCAGATCATCCGTGGCAGCTCCGTGGAGCAGATGAAGCGATTGACTATTGGCGTGGAGCTGGCAGCTCAACCGAGTGTGTTGTTCCTGGACGAGCCGACGAGTGGACTGGACGCTCGCTCTGCCAAGCTCATCATGGACGGCGTCCGGAAGGTGGCGAACACGGGACGTACCGTGGTGTGCACGATCCACCAGCCGTCGACGGAGGTCTTTAGCGTGTTCGACAGTCTTCTGCTACTAAAGCGTGGTGGCCAGACGGTGTTCGCAGGTGAACTTGGCAAGAACGCTAGTAAGATGATCGCGTACTTCGAGTCAATCGACGGCGTGGCGAAGCTTGAGGACAACTACAACCCTGCAACTTGGATGCTGGAAGTCATCGGTGCTGGTGTGGGCAACAGCAACGGCGACAGGACCGACTTCGTCAAGGTCTTCCAGTCGAGTAAGGAGTTCGAATACCTCCAGTCAAACTTGGATCGCGAGGGTGTGTCTCATCCGTCTCCCGATTTCCCTGAGCTGACGTTCAGTGACAAACGTGCTGCGACAGAGATGACGCAGGCCAGATTCCTTCTCCAGCGGTTCTTCCGCATGTACTGGCGTACGGCGTCGTACAACTTGACGCGATTCAGCTTGTTCCTTATCCTCGGACTGGTCTTCGGTATCACATACATCGACGCCGAGTACACGTCGTACGCTGGTATCAACTCCGGCATGGGCATGTTGTTCTGTACGACGGGTTTCATTGGGTTTATCTCCTTCAGCAGTGTCATGCCCACTGCATCGGAAGATCGTCTGGCCTTCTACCGTGAACGTGCGTCGCAGACGTACAACGCGCTTTGGTATTTCGTTGGATCGACCCTAGTAGAGATCCCGTACGTCTTTTTCGGCACGCTATTCTTCATGGCTCTGTACTTCCCCATGGTGGGCTTCACGGATGCGACTACGTTCTTCGCCTATTGGCTCCACCTGTCCATGCACGTGCTGTGGCAAGCATATTTCGGCCAACTCATGTCGTATCTCTTGCCGACTGTCGAAGTGGCTACGATCTTTGGTGTGCTGTTGCAGACAATCTTCTTCTTGTTCAACGGCTTCAACCCTCCTGGAGCGTCGATCCCTCAGGGTTACAAGTGGTTGTACCACATTACACCGCACAAGTACTCGTTGGCTTTGGTGGCGTCGCTGGTCTTTGGTGACTGTCCAGGTGACGGCGATGGCTCGGAAGTTGGCTGCCAGGTCATGACTGGATTGCCACCTTCACTTCCCGAAAATATGACGGTGAAGGACTACCTCGAGGATGTGTTCCTGATGAAGCACAGCGAAATCTACAAGAACTTCGGCTTCGTCTTGGGCTTCATCGTGGTGTACCGTGTGCTTGGTCTACTGACTCTGCGCTTCGTCAACCACCAGAAGAAGTAGTGAGCATTCGAATAAACCCAAAAATATATAGGTTTCGTCGAACTGAGATTGCACAATTAATTTAGTGCACTAAAGTAGTCGAGCTTTTCGGTGAATCAATCGTACAAAGAAAACGCGACCCAAGTTTTGTCACGACAGAAAATAAGCCCATGTACCGTGAATAAAAAAAAACGCAGAAAAAACTGACAGAAAAAAAACACGATTTCGTCTTATAAAAAGCTAAGCCATTGACTGTTGCGGGGACTTGACCTCCACGAAAGCAGCTGTCCGCGATGGAACAGCTCTTCGATGTCCTCCAGCATGATGCCCTTCGTCTCGGGACAGAAGAAGTACACAAATATGCCGCAGATACAGCACAGACCCGCGAACAAGAAGAACACACCATTGATGTTCAGATGCGGGAAAAGCTTCACCACCTCCGTCATGACAGCACCCATGGCCCAGTTGGCAGCCGTCGAGAGCGACACGGCCGACGCGCGCACACCCAAAGGGAAGATCTCGGCCGGGTAGATCCAGCACACGGGGCCCCAGGAAATGGCAAAGTTGAAGACGAAGAAGGCCGAGCCAAGACAAATGAACCAGCCACCGACCTTGGGGCAACCGGCATTGTCGACGTTGCCGCCACAGATGGCGGTGAACAGGATGGCGGCAAACAAGTGACCGGTCACCATACCTACGGCACCAATCAACAACAGCTGGCGACGACCGAAAGTATCCACCCAACGCATGGCCGGAATGGTACTGAGGAAGTTGACACCGGAGATGAAGAAGGCCGAGTAGATACCGGCGTTGGTGATGTCCTTAAAAATGAGCGCGCCGTAGCTCATAATGGGGTTGATACCAGTGGCCTGCTGCAGCACCTGGAGCAGCATCGCAGTCACCACACGCTTGAAGATGGCAGGCTCGAGCAGCTCGGCGAGTCCCTTTGAAGCCGCCAACTCTTCCTCGACCTGGTCACCAATCACCTGTAGCTCGTGTCCGACATTGTCCGTTTGACGGAGACGCTTGAGCACGCGCTCCGCCTCCTCCTTGCCCTTGTGGAGGTACGTCCATCGAGGACTCTCCGGTACGAAGAAGATGCCGAGCAGGACGACGATCGGGGCAGCCATGGCCACACCGTTGGTGGTACGCCAACCGCGGTCGCGGTTCTCCACAATGATGTTGACAGCGTTAGCCAGGAAGAGACCCGTCACTACAGTCATCTGCATAAATCCTGAAAGGAGGCCACGCAGCTCCTGGGGGGCCATCTCGGCACCAAACAGGGGCAGTGAGAACGACGAGTTACCCACACCGAAGCCCTGAATCACACGGGCAATATACATGAGACCGTGCTCCTGTGCCTTGTTGAAACACACCCACGATGTACCAATGCAGAATAGTAGACCGGCCGTGAAGATGGTCCAGCGGCGACCTAGCTTGTCAGCCACAATCCCACCCACAAAGGCTCCGCCGAGACAGCCCAGGTTGTACGCCATGTTGTACCACACGGTGAAGTCCGTCCATTCAGCCGGCAGGTCCGAGGTGGAGGCAACGCATTGCTCATACGTGAAGTTGTGCCAGCCGACGCAGTAGTCGTAGATGAAGGAGGTAATCATCCTCCTTGGTCTCTGACGATTTTGGTCCCGCTCAAAAATAATCGTTTGGTCACGTGGTCTAATCAAACTTGACCTCGGCGATGGATAACACTTGGTGTTCTTGTCAGCTCTGCGACTGCTACCTCCGTTAGTGCAGGCCCCCTCAGACTTATGCAATTGAGATCTAATAGTACTACGCAACCGCCAGAGATTTGTATCGTAAATTATTTACTGTTTGAATAAGTGCAACTAACCCGGTAAGTATGCTGATAGCAAGTACAACTGTGCCGGTAGCGATTAGTATCGTTGGTGCTTTCACTAGTTCTGCCGGCAGACATCGCTGGCGGCTCGACTAACATCTTGATAACAAGTATGTGCCTAATACTGTCATGGAAAAGTATAAATCAAGTCACCCGACATCGTAGATCTTTATCAACGGGACATAATGATTCTACGTATCGGCTCGATCATTATATATTGAAGCGTGTGACAACCCGTGCTCAAATCGACATGTCATTAGATGCTGTAAAATCATATATAATTCATGTTTTTAAGATCCGTCTGCTTTCTCTTCTTCCTCATAATCAAATGAGTTGTCGTACACAATACCGAGATCTTCGTCAGACAAGTTGGGGGCCGCGTCGCTGTCATCACTACCGAGAGATGCATCGTCCTCATCCTCGCTGGGTGATGCCTCGATATCGCTGACGTTGGGCAAAGCCGCCGCTTTTGGGAATCGCATTGGAGGTCGCACAGGAGCGGTAGCATCACCAGATATAATACTTTTGCGCAGTACAACATACTCCCTTGCAAATTGTTCAATGACGCGGACGAAATTATTAAGTGACGGATGAGTCTTTATCCTCGCATTCAGCTCCCGGTGAAACCTCTCTAGATGATTGTTAGTCCGATTCACGATTTGACGTTGAACGCCATATATATTCCAAAGATCGGGAGGGTAGGTTTCTAACCATGTTTTGGCAAAGTATGCCCAAAACTTATTCCACTTTTCCCGAGAATACGTAATACTTTTCCGATCGCAACGCTTTTTAATCTCGCGTTTAACCCACGCAACCCCCTGTACCGAAATCTTGTCTGGGTCAACTACGGTGAGCATGTCAAATACTCCAAAAGACATCGCAATTGCAGATTCATCTTTCGGCATACTGTACTCCTTTAGTTTCCTGCTACACGCCTGCTTGAAATGCAGCCAACAATGCGTGTTGACGGAAAATTTTTGTAAAACGCCGCAATCACCCCTGCTTCAAAGTCACAAACCACGTTCGCTGGATTTGGTTTTTTCCCCAACGAAAACTCGATGCACTTGAACATTTTATTGTACAGCTTTTCCGTTTTATTTGTTGCCAGCGTAAAAAATACAGGTACGTATAGCTCCGTATACTGATCATACATCATGAGGGTCACAAACTGGTGATATCCTTTGGGTGTGCACCGGAACGTGCCATCGACAAATAAATGGGCACCGTCAATTCGAAGGAGATTTCGAAGTTCTGGATGCGCCCAACCGATCAATCGCTCAATGCCAGACTTATTTTGCTTTGCTCTAATGTCATCGTGCCAAACGTAGTGAAATTGAAGGAAACCCATGTTGGTACCGAATACTTTTACTCTTTCGGGACTCTCCAACAAGGTAAAAATATTTGTTCCCGATTTTGACTTTCCCACACGTGCGATCACTTGTTTTCGTGAGAGACCACGGACAACTCCAATCGAGTTTTCGTAAAACTTTTCGTAAGCCAGAGTCCATATCTTGTTAGCTGGAACATCTTGTTCGGCTAAATTATCGACAAATGTTTTCATCTCTTCTTCCATGTCGATACAGACAGATTCGTCACTCGCAGCCCCAGATACCTTTCTGCTCCGACATGTATGGGGTACCATGTTGTCAAAGTCGTACGTCATTGTGTCAGCATAGTAAAACAGGAGCCCAGGACATAGTTTGGGCTTCCTATAGAAGCTACATCTATACGTTATTTTGACTGCTGATACTTTTGCGCGTGTGTATTCGAAGCCTTGATGGTAAATTTTTGATTTTCCTTCTCGGGGCCGCTGCTCTGAGCGCACATGCAGATCTCCACCTCGAGCATGACGTGGAGGCCGATCATTGGAGCTTGTTATGATCTCTGTAGTTTGATGCGGTGTGGCCACGTTCGATTGACCCAGTTGCGCGGGCTGTGGGGGTAGCCTCTCTGTACGAGAAGTAGGAGCAATGGACAAGAGCGGTGATGGTGGCATTAGCTGTACGGACGCTGCCAACTGGGTTGAGGCTAGAGGGTCGTCCAAGCTTACAACAAGCTCTTCATGAGGATATTGAGAGCTTGTCGAGCGCGTATTGGGACGAGAGGTTGGTGAGTATCGGGGACTTTGACATCGCTTTTGATGCCGAGGTGATGGTGACGAGCGTCTCATGTGTAGTGTCGGTTATAGGATGCAATTCTGAAAATGAGACTCACACCGAGTTGAAAGCATGCGCACCCCGTAAAAAACTGCTCGTTGGTTCAGCGAGGCTCTTGGGGGATTATGACTTAAACACTTGAAGTGTGTAGATTTATGGAGCCCCTTCATTAATAACAGCTCGTTGGTTTCGCGAGGCCCTTGCTGGATTATTCTTAAAGCTCTTCAAGTATAGATGTACCAAAATGTAACAACTCGTTGGTTTCGCGATGATAGTCGTGGTTTCGCGAGGCTCGTTGCGGGCTATGTCTTTAACACTACAGCTGTGTAAATGAGCAAAAAGCCTTTGGTCGCGTTTGGGTTTTCTTGTTGCTGTCGTACGTGACCAAGGGCATATTTGAACACGTGCGTTAACGAGACCAACCGGTTTGGTCTCGTGACCAAAGTGCAAAATTATGGCGTGACCAAACTCGTCAGAGACCAAATATATATTCTACGGATGAAGGAGTCCATGATGAGAACGCCCGAGGTCACACCCTGATCGTAGCCGAAGAAGAGGCCACCCAGAGCGGCGAAGACGCACACGATGATAGCGTAGGTGCGCGAGCCCTCAGTAGGGACGTCATCGTCGTTATTGTGGACGTTCACCACGACGCCGGCAGCCATTGTGGAGTGGAAAGAAGTTGGAGGAAACAGTCGGTAAGGCGGTAAATCGCAGAATGAGAAAGGGATCGGTGGGCAGGATTCGAGATCGCGCGCTGCTAGAATGGTAGCAATAGACTGCGTACATGTATAATGTAAGGCACAGGTACTAGTGGAAGAGCATCCTTGCCTCTCACTAGATATCTGCAGACTTCACCCCCACCCGCTACAATGGGCGGAGCGTAATCCACGTACGCAAAGTCTGGACGAGCACGTCTACTGTTCTGCAGTCACACTGAGGTGGGGTGTACTCTCTCACGGTACACGTACAACTTTTTGCGGTGATACATTGAAGCTTCAGTGTGCCGGTTGAAGTTCGGGATCGCCGGGACATTGTCGTACAATCATGAGTTGTGTCAAGTGTGAGAGAATACTTTCGCTCTATCTGTATTTGCTTGTACAGATGATGCAGGTAATGCAAGAATTAGTTGAAGCAGCGCAAATTGTCTTGGAGGAGCTGCCTTTAGGACCCGTCAAGGCCCCTAGTTTTTCTAGGTTTTGTTTGCACGTGAGTTTCTGTTTCAGCAACTTCAGAAAAGCTTAGGGCCCGGCACACCAATGGGACTGAGCGTAGCCGATTGTTAGACGTGGCGGTACTTGAACTTCGGAATATAAAGACCAAAGCGTTTTTTTCCTGGTCCTGCAAACCGAACACGGCCTTATAAAGAGCAAAGCGTTTTTTTTCTGGCTTAGGCCGTGTTCGGTTTGCAGGGGCAAATCCAGCTTGTTTGAAAATTAGCTAGAGCTGTAGAACAGTCGTTTTGTGAAGTAAAATAAAGATAAAAATAAGGCGTCTGCGACCGCCAACCATTATACTCAGGTAGACAAAGAAAAAAAGACCAATCACCAGGGAAAAATGGTAGACAGCGACCACGACGACGACGATGACCTGTGGCTCCTCCAAGCGCTTGCTAAAATGCAGGAGGCGGCAACTCAAAAGCGAATAGCACTCAAGGAACCTATACCACGGCTATTGAGCACAGAGACTTTTTATGGAAGCATCGCTGCGCGCTGCAAGGTAGCACTTAAGCAGCGCCTTTTCATCCACACGCCTCCAGGTCGCCCTTTGTTTCTTCGTCTGCTGATCCATCCGTTGATTTTAGAACTACTGTCACTGTTTTAAGGGGCAAAGGAGGACGAATCAAATTCAACCCAGAGCTGAATTTTGAAACCAGTCGTTTGGAGCTATCCTGCTGGATGTCATTTTTTGTGTTTCTTAGCGGAATAAAGCTGGTTGAGACATTCCAGCTCTTTAATAACAATTGCAGCTGGTTTTAGCTTAGATCGAACACGGCCTTAATATTTTGTCACAAGACTTAATAGCAATGGTGCGAGGGGACCAAATTGGCTGTGCGGCGCACTCTGATTGGTCAAAACATTGTAGCCAAAGACCAAACTCAGTGTAGCCATGATAAAATCCCCATAAGTCACCGACCCAAATAATCCATAAATGTATTCACCGTTTTCACGAATGCCTGTACCGTACTTTTGCGAAAGACTGCACGTTTCCGCACGATTGCACTTTTGCGGGCGACCGCGCATTTGAGGACGACTGCACAATATAGGAAGATACTTTGTCAGACACGGGCCACGCATAGAAATAGCAAGTTTCATTTCATATTTTCCCTTCGCGGAGTGCAAGCGACTGCAATGGACCTGCCCGAAACTAGTCGCCTGTACGGTGCGGCCATCGCTGCAGCCAAGTGTGCCGATCAACGACCCGAGTCTCGCACGCGGGTTGACTATACCGGCAGCCTTCGTCGGCTCACCGCTTTTTGCATAGCTGAAGGATACCCAGACCCGATGAAGCAGCGATTTGTTCAGCTCCCAGACGTACTAGCAGCGTACATAAATCAGCTCGCGACGGCAAACAAGAGTCAGTGGCCTGCTGAGAAGCTACGCGCCGCGATTAGCTGGCATTACGCGAAGCCGGAAATGCTTTCAGGTGGACACCCGCACGATCGCTGGGTTATTGAAACTCAAGCAGATGGCTCGGTTGTGCTACACGGAAACCCCGCCCGATCCGCAGCAATTACGCAAATCCTCGCAGGCCTAAGTAAAGCAAAAAAAAACGTGAAAGAACTCCTAAGCGCGCGTCACCTATGTCGCTCGCAATGCTAACGCGAGTAATCACTTCCTGGAAACCGATTCGGACTTCAATGAGACGATGCGCTTGTGGTTTTCCGCCCGGTGCTCGCTTGCCTTTTACGGAAGTGTCGAATAAATGAGGTGCTGTTCATTAAAAAAGGATTTATTCAGTTCGGACTTTGGCGCAAGTCGCGCAAGAACGACAAGGAGATCGATTTTTGGATGTTTCACAATACGCGACCGAAAAACGGGCCATGATCCACTGGCAAGTCGTACATACTCTTTGCATCACCTCCCTTAGGATGAACAAGCTACCGAGGCTTTGACAAACCTGGAGAGATGGTTTGAATATGCATGTACGCTGTAAAACCACAAGTGGGGCAGTGGTGACTACGCGTTCCCAGCACTGACAAAGATTCCCCGCGGAGGTGCTAAACGTCCAAAGGGCTCTCTCGCTAGCGCCAGTCCTAATGGGACATTTGGGAATGTTGGCGCTCAATGGGGCGCTCCAATGTCGGACAGTAACTTCACTTAGATTCTCAACATTGTCGCCAATGCAGCTGGAATTCAGCAAGAATCTCCTTGGAAATGACATCTGGTTTACATCACATTGCTTTAGACGAGGCGGGGCTCAGTACAAATTTATGTTCGCTTCTGAACAAAGCCGCTGGTCTTTGAAGTTGGTGAAGTGGTGGGCAGAATGGGCGCCAAGTGAAAAGGTTGAGACCGTAACACGATGTCTACTAGACGACGTTCTAGATCGCGAGGAAAACCAACTTGGGGATTTATTGGCCCCTGATGCGACTATACCTACCAATGGCCCCCTGGCGAGCCTTCACGACTTCGACTACAGCTGCGCTCAACCTAGCAACAGTTTTATTTCGGATGAGGCTGGTGATGTGCCTAACGCGTCTGCTCCCTCCCTTTCGGATTCAATCGTAGGATACATCAAACTGCAGTTCTAGCGGAGCTTCGCGATATGATAAAATCTATTAGCTCGAGCCGGAGCTCGGCTCAACGAACGGAAAATGACGAAGGCGGCGGCATCGTGGAACCTGAATTGGCTCATATTGCAAACGACTCTGCGAACTTGGTGTCGGGGCTACCAGACGCTAAAGGGTGGCCCGTCTACGCTAACCAGTACTGGCATGCTAATGCGGCATGCCACCAGTTCAGAGCTGGCGTTGACATGCTTCCACATGAACCCAAGTTACATCGATCGCGTCTTTCTCGAATGAAGATCATCGCTGAATATGTCCAAGAAAAGCACGCCGGTGACCAGGACCAATTCGAGGCGGACTTTGCACTTTGCATTCATGGTAATCTAACAGTTAACAAAATTCTTGCAGAGATATGAAAACGTAAGCGAGCGTAAACATCGTCCTCCGAATTGCGATCTCGACTTCAACTGTGCAGTCGTCCTCAAACGTGCGGTCGTTCTCAGAAGTGCGGTCGTCCTCAGAAGTGCGGTCGTCCTCAGAAGTGCGGTCGTCCTCAACTGTGCAGTCGCTCATTTGTGTGCAGTCGTGCTCGATGCAGTCGTCCTCAGTAGTGCAGTCGGCCTCAGCTGTGCAGTCGCTCATTTGTGTGCAGTCGTCCGCGATAGTGCAGTCGTCCTCAAAAGTGCAGTCGTCCTCAATAGTGCGATTGTAAATACACTACAATAAAGTATTGTCGGCCTCAAAAGTGCAATCAGCCTCAAGAGTGAGGTTGAAGATCTGCGATGATAACTGCTTCGAGGCTAACCAAAACGCATAAAACTCAAAATTAACTAAAACGTATCCATTATGTAGTAATGCCTTGCCGTGCATATTGCCTATTCTGATGACTCTGCTGAAACGCTGGCACTAGGTTGGTAATCTTCGTCAGCTGAATCGTTTGAGTTGTCACTCAGATAGTCATCACAGAAGTATATACTGTCGACTGGAAACGGTTGCATGCATGAAGGGCACTTGAGGTGTGCTGCACCATTATTGCTGAGGTTCACCATGTTGAATACACGTAAACACTGAATGCCGCATTGGTGCGGGCACTGAGGGCCCTCCTATATGATGTCCCCGTTGTGGTCATTATGTCCACTTCCGTCATGCAGCGACTCGATCGCTTGTGGCGCTCCAGCTGGTAGCGGTAGCCTCTAATCCACTGACAGCACACGTCACACATCCGAAATGGTGGGGCTGGCAATCCCCGACATGGGATTTGGAGGTGTCGACTAAGATTGTCGGCTCTGGAAAACTGGTGATGACACGTTTTTGTTTTGCAGACGTGCTCCAAGCTTCCAGACAGTAGATCACAAATGTCCATCCTAATTATAATAATAGTAATAAGCATTTATAAGTACATTATATTACGTTGCTACAAAAAATAGTCCTCTCACTGGTCACACATGTGGAGCAGGGGGCTTCGCAGCAAAATCGATCATGAAGTCCTGTTGTCAGCAGGCGGCAGCTTCAAATGGTGCGATGTTTTGGCGGTATGACACCCAGAGTCCGCCTCTTTATGCCTATCCCTATTAGGCCCGCTAGTGTGTCGCAATAGACCAAGGTTCATTTCTCATATCGCACTCCACATCAAATATACATAATTTCGCACAAGTCAAGCGAAGTCCTACTTCTTCTAGTGGTTGGTTTTTTGAACAAGATGTCGAAGGTATCATTGACCAAGACATGAAGGCTTTTTTCTGATCACGATATGTGCACTGTAGCGTTGGACTAAGTTTAGGTATTAGGAGGAAGGTTATCACCTGAGCCTTCCTCAATGTCGATTTTTCTGCACTCGCAATCACCTCCAAGCGTTGCAACTCCTCGGGCCCTTTCTAACCAGCACTTCAAGAGCAATATGCACCCAACGACGTTGTTCGCGGTGTTCAAGCCCACAGCCCCCGAGACAGGAGGCCATGTACACGGCAGAACGGCTTTAGAGGCCGAGAACGGCCAGTTTGATGTTGAAGGGGTATACAGTGGGCGGTGGTGGCAATCTGGCCCCTTACGGCGAAACGAAGTGCGTCCGATGTAGAGGTTCAATTGGTGACGGAAGCGGAGGCTCCCAGTAGTATCGATATCTACCCTCGAAGCGCAATTGTACATTGCTCATGTCCCACAAAGAAGGCCGTATGTTTGGGGCTATGGGATAGTTGTCAGCTATGCTTGGGAAGAAGCAACTCAGTTCGGCTCACGGCAAGTCACTTTCTCGAGTGAGACTTGCGTAATTTGTACAGCGAAGATGAGATGCAAGCTATTGCACTGGAGACATATGTCTTGCGACCCTGTCGCATGCGGGGACCTGCCGCCATAATACCCGCAGAAATGCCACAGTATACAATCCAGCGCATGGTCATTTGGATGGAATCGACATGCAAGCTCGACGGAGCTCAGCAATTATTCTTAGGAAAGTAGGTGTGTCTATCGTGGATGAGTGCGTCGTGGAACCGGTGTACAGCGTGATCAGCACACGAGTTTTCTTCCTTGCGGGCAAGCGCAGACCCTAAAAGCACCGACTTTGTTGCTTGTGGAAGTATCGAATGCTTCGAGCAGCGGCCTCGGATAGCAGTCGAGGGGCGATATTGAAACGAGGAGACTTGTAGCGGGGTACATATCAGTATACACTAGGTTACATAAAGAGTGACCCGTCACTCTTGTGGACACCTGCTGCACAGTACCCGGTGCTCTAGGAGCCAGTCTGGGCATGACTACATAGCTCCACTATAGGCGACCTCTAGTTTGTATAGAACCCAAGCTAAGCTTACTTATAAATACATCAGTCTTACATCTACTCTTCCAAGTAGCAAACTGCTCCCACTGAGGCCGAGAACAAGTGGACTTACGCCCACTCGGGTAGTAAATAAATACCCTTAAACATTTCCTCTGTGCAAGGTGCTGTGTGACCCCGTCGCAAGACTACCCGTCTCAAGACTGCAGTTATTCGACTCTGATGACGACCTTCTGCCAACGGAGGAGAAAAAAAAGCAGAGCCCCCAACATCAGGTACAAGTAAACACATTCGAGAAGAATCCCCCCATGAAACCAAAGATTTAGCGATATCACGACTGAAAGCTCTCCAGAGCCGGGTGGGCGACGACCCGGAGATGGTGCGTGACATCGACCAGCTAATTGCCCTGCTTTCGTTTAATTTTGGGAAAACAAACGCAAACGAACTAGTGTTTGCAGGAGGGCCCGAGACCAAGCCGCACTTTAAACCAACTCGACAGCCGTCCGTCTCCTGCAACCGATCTCGTACCGCTGTTGGTATCAATGAAGGTTTCCGAGTCGCAGTGATATTGCTATCATGCAACTTGGTGACTCGAAATCCCGCGACCTGAACTTCCAGAAATCCTGTGCAACAGTTTTGAAAGTCTCTACGGTTATGATGACTGCCTTTTGTTTTTACTTTTTCTGATGTTTATTAGCACATCGTTACTACACCTTTGCCAGGTCAAGATGGTGCTACTCCACTTCAAAACGGATTTTTTTTAATACGAAAACAAAAATTTGATTAGGAAAAAGTAGCACTAAAAAGGAAATTCAAAGTGGTGAAAACGCAGAGCAAAGTGGTCCTCTCAGGTTGAACTGCAGCGAGGTGCCGTACTGCATGTCCTTTATGCGCTCCGCGGCAACAACGGCATGCTGGCAATGCAGTACCATCCTGCTAACAAGGCGCAAGTCGATACATCCTATGCGGCGCCTCGCCGCGCGCTCCAGTATCTCCATCCGAGCAGCCGCAACCGTCCCGCGATGACGCTTTACTACCAGTTCTTCACGGGACAAGGCAAGGTCGGCCTTGATCTTGGTCTTGAAACACTGAAACACCCTGTAGTACCACTTCAAAAGTCGATTAGTTGGTCATTTAAAATATATATTGTAATACTGTATACTGCGTACCTTCAATGGGGTTACACATTGGAGAGTATGGAGCCAGCCATAGAAGTACGAAATCGGCTAGTTCAGCGACGCGTGCTTCCGTTTGGTTATGGGCAGGGGCGTTGTCGAGAGCGACAACGATTTTCTTGCCCTGGAAGTGCTCTTGAAAGATTGGCG